TCCGATTTTAATGAGCTTCGAATATATTAAAACATACACAAAATAAAAAAAACGTATTTTTTATATGTTCTGAGCTGCACGTTAAGGAGGCGAAAATCCTCTAAAAAAATCGGTTTTCTTCTTTTAAAATAAATGTCGTCAAAACTAAAACAGATAAAAAAAAGTTTTATACAAAAGTTTTATACAAAAGTTGAATCGTTTCAAGAGTATGCTGAAAGAGCATGCTGACAAAGTATGTTTATATCATAGAGTTTGATGATATTGAAACAATGTAACAATGGATACAACATGGCTGCTTCAATTAAGGTACTGGAAAAGTGGAATGCGCAATTAAAAGAACTATATTCGAAGCAATAAAGGTTCGATGTCACTTCTCTCTGTATATAAGACTCTATTGTAAACTCATGTGGAACTTTGCTTCGCGTTAAAAAGTGTATGGAGGCAGCGTGTCCCTTTTTCTCCACGATAAGCTTCACTATCGAAAGATCCAACTTAATCCAACCCATATCACAATGATATTTAACTGTTTAACTATTGGATTAGAGAAAAAGTCTTTTTACAAATTGGAGCATAATTGAAACATATTTTTTAAATCGTTTAAAACAAATTTTTTACCAACCAAATATGTGCCGTTTTGATCGATGATCTTTGCCGTTTTCCGGATAAAGCCATTATTCCATCGATATTGTTATGTTCTGATTGTCCGTTTTTGGGTCAATACATTTAAATACTTTACCCTGGGATTGGACCGATTTGTGATTTAATCAACTCCGAATAGATAATGAATTTTATAAATTTTATCGCGGATCTTTTCTAATAATTTGATTATAATTTGAATAGTTTATTTTAAAATCGATTTTATTCAATTTATATTTAAGAATTTATTTGTTTTAATTTTAGATCGTTTTTCTAATTCTTTTAGCCTTTGAAATAATTTGAAGGGATTTTTATTCGAAATTATTGTTTGATTTAATTGAAATCTTAAATCTTAAATTGATTTAATTGAAATCTTAAATTTTAAGTTGAAATCTTAAATTTAATTGAAATCTTTTTATTTGATTTCTGCGCCCCCCTCTTTTGGGCATGAATGCTTTTTGAAATTAATTATTTATTGGTTAAAACTCTAAATTCAAATTATTGAGTTGCAACATCATTGGCTGTGACTAACTGCTATGCTACGCTCTTTGTCAGCGACCGAATTTGGATTTAGAATTATTTTCTTGATTTCAATTAAAAAGTAATTAAGAAAGAAGTATAAGATTTCAATTCTTCTATTGTTTTTAATTTAAAATTATCTTTATTAAATTAAGAAGGCTTTTAACTTAAATAGATTTAAATTCTCCTCAAGAGAATGATTACAAACAGCAATCTGTTACAAATTTAAGAATTCAACGCTAAGGTCTACGATAACGATAAGAATGACAATAATTACGCCCGACTTATGACTGTGACTAATTTTTAATAACTGCGTCCCAAACAAAACAAAAATAAAAACTAAAATTCAAGCGCTTTCTCCGCATTCATATTTATAGGTGATCAGAACTCCTCGCGCGAACTTTTCACTTCCTACTTCCGAACGCATAATTAAGAGGGGGAAAGTTCTTTCTTAGAAGTGTCATCTGAATCTCCGTTAGCAACAGGTGTAACCTGGTACACTAGCGGCCAAAAATGCCTTCTTCCTTAATAGCATTTCAAGTAGAATATACCCAGTTATATCGCATCTAGGTCCCGATTGATATCCGATTGATTATCTGTTTAATTAGCTAATATTATTTTTTTCTCGAGGAGCTGTCACTCTGACCGATTTTGACAAGCGGCACGAGGCAACGCTGTCGAACTTAACATGATCTATGAATACCTAGATGCGATATACTGGATATATTCTGCCTGAAACGCTATTAACTTAAAGGGGAAGGTATTTTTGATCGCTAGTGTACCAACAGGATTTCAATCAATAAATCAATATTTTTATCGTAAAACACGCATTCTTTTATTTAAAGTTATAAGATTTAGATAGCCGTGACATCTCCCCCCTTAAGTCATATATAGTACCTTATGTTACTATGAATAATACTGGTTAATCCTGTATACAATTTACTTATTTCTATGTTAATAATGCAAAAATTAGCTACTATTATTATTATATT